CGAGCCTACTGCTCCCCCCCGCGCCTTTTCTCCGGCCCCGCGTGCCCGGGCTGCCGGCCACAGCCCGCGTGCACACAGACGGGCCCGGCTCGCGCCCGGTGAGGACGGGACCGGGAGCCGGCCTGCACAGAACTAATGCTGAACAATAGCCACTCAAATTGATACCTGAATAGTTTATTTAAAAAATATCTTACTGCTTGCTTATTTTAACTTTTTTTGTTATTGCGCATTCCTTGCATCGCCTATTGATATTTGCTTCTGAGCATATATCAGTCAGGTCAGCTGTTTTAAATCAAATAATTTGTGCACTTTGTGACCTTATTTAAATCACATGTGTAGCAGGCTTGCCTTTTGGAGCTTGGGTTGAGTGCCAGGCTTGAAATCTTGCTGTTTTGATTGGTGGAGCCCATCAATAGGGACGGAGGGAAACTGAGAGGTCTGCAGTTGCTCCACAGCACACCTACCAGCTAACAATCCCCTTCAATTGGAGAAGGGGAGCATATACCTGAGTTACCTGGGCTACACATGGATCAAGGGAATCAAGAGAATTATCCCATGGTATGTCTCCTCTGAAAGGCACAATATGCCATAATTATTTAGGACTGTAGACAGAGCCTGAGGAAAAATGCCACCAGTATTTGTTCTGATCCACCTCTGTGCATATATCCTGGATGCTCATAGGATTTCCACATAATTTCATTGGGAGGCTTCATTGAGCCTTTCAGTCCTTACCATGACCTTATATCATGAACCTTTCTTAGAGTATACTTCAATTGTGGTAACATTATCATCTCACAGACTTAAGAGTGAAACGAAGTGGGGTAATTTAGTACAAGCTTCAAATAAGTAACTACTTATAAGTACAAATATTGAAGATGGGAGGAAAAACAGAAACAACAGAAATGTTAGTCCATGTGTAATAATGTATGCATTTTTTATTTACAGCATTCTCTATCAAATATTTCAACTGCTTTTTATATTGAAAAAAATACAGCAGTAAAAAAATACTTGTTGATTCTTGAGTCAAATCTGGGAAGAGCCAAAACACAAATTCTCTAAATCCTTCTTGTGTAAACAGGATTGTTCACTTGGAGAAAAGAGAAATTGACATGAGATTTAAATGGTTACACTTTTTATTGGCCCCAATCAAGTAATAAAAACTCAGTATTACATAAGATTGCAAGATTATTACAAAATATAAAAAGCTAAGTACATCCGATAGCATTTACACAGCCACATATTATAAGCCCCACAAAGTTTAAATAATTGTATAATCAAAGGTCATATCTTATAGATACGACTGCAGCAATGACGACATTATGCAAGAAATTCTGCTATACTATTGCATAGAAATATGTGGGCATGCTGAAAACCAAAGTGAAAAGCCAGTTCTCTGCTATATTCCTTCCTCCACCCACAGATACAGTACAAAAATCAAACAGTAAATATCTGATTAGTTTAGTCAACAAATATAAAAAAAATACCAATTAATTTTGTTTAGTCAGCAGTGTGTGATCATGACAAGAGTTTACTAGCTCGTTATCACTATGGACCCAATTCTGAAATCAGATCTGCATGAGTTGACTCATATCCAAGCAAAGCTGCACTAACTTCAACGGGGCCTCAATATGAGAAAAAGAGCTTCATCTGCATAGCTTTAATTGCAGGGCTGGGGTCTTACTTTGCATTATTTATAGGATCTCCACTTTGTCTTACTTTTCAAAATGCAAAATAAGAACTCACACTCTAATTAGGAAGGTGCAGAAAGTAAGTGTTGCTTAGTTTGGATTGTAACCCTTGGAAGAGATGTTCTGCAGTAACATAACTAGGGGTGGCTGACTGGGGAACCAGCCCTCAGCGCTGATTTTTAAGGAGCACTTGAATGTCAGTGGTGGCTATCAGCCCAACCACCACTGCTGTTGCCCAGGGCACAGTAACTGCTTGTTTATACCTCTGGTGTTCTGTAATTGTTGTTTAATGAAAACATGAAGATACAAAAAAACAAAACTAGAGAGTTCCTATCAGAGAATGATTGGGTAATCCATATTTACAGCTGTAAATCTCCTTTCTACTACTGTAAAAATGTTAGAGACCATAACAATTACAATTGTTGCTACAATTGCACCAAGAACTACAAATATGTATATCCACCCCTAAAAATGCAAACCCTTACTGGCTTAGGGTATGGTTACACATACCTTTTAGCTGCTTTAAAAAGGGATGTGGAGCCATTACTCAGGAGTGCACAACAGCTGTTACCATCTAACTTATGTCTGTATGAGGCTGTTGCCATATAAGAGAGCTATAGCACCCTAAGTTTGAACCTGAATTAGGAAAGGTTAAAGCTGGAGCAGTTTTGCTTCACTTGCATCACTACAGGATTGTGCAGATGTAACACCTTGATCATAAACACTTGTATCAATACCTTTTGATATCAATATAATTGTTAAATCCATCTACAGCTTTAGGCTCTAATCCTGAGCTGACTTAAAGAGCTGTTTAATTTATGTCATTTTAACGGAGAACAATGTTTAAGTATAGGCTGCAAATTAGCAGAGCACGAGGATGAAGGGCTGTAAAATAACAAAGGGTGAAATCCTAGCCTAGTGACTGTCAGTGAAAATCACCCAAAAAAGGGTAATGATCCTTAAACTACATTAAATTAAATGTATTAACAAAAATGTTGACTTGTGATCTTTAACATATATTGTATAGGCTAATTTCATTTTTCTTCTCATAGTTTTAGGTTAAAATGAGAGGCTAATCTGCTTTGCACAGTTTGTGAGATTAAATGAGACAACATTTATTATTCCCTGAGAATATGTGAAATATATTCATCAGTACATAACAACCACATTTACTTTTTATTCTCCTTGCCTACTTTGTAGTAATATTTTTTGTTGATTTTCTAGGCACTCTTTCAATTTATCTTCAGTCAAAGTTAGTCGCTGTTCCAGGATTGAAATAGTCTGCATGAAGAGGACAGTTCTTTTAAATACATTATTCACACAGTGCCAAAAAGGTGCACAACACTGCGCACAAAAATAATAGCTTTTAAAGAACAATGAAAAATACTAGGAAAGCCATACTGGTTACAGGTTTTTTGCTATTCAAAACTAAAATGAACACATACATTGCCTTTCTAGCTAAGAAAACTGTCAAAAGGTTTATACTGCCACTACAAACTTGACATTTTACTGGAATATATTGTAAGCTCCATGCTTTGTATGTTTAATTATCCAGACATGTATACGTATTTTAATACAATAAAATTCATTAACAGAATCCTCAGCAAGGTGGTTCCAACTAAAACACTGCTGAGGCACTGAGAAGAGCCTTTAAAAAAAAGTACCAATTAGAATACAGTTACTGAAAGGAAATACTGAGTATTTTCAATTAAGAGAGAGTCATAAGTCATTGGCAAAGGCTGGTGTTTACCCTGTGATCCATGGACATCTAAAGTTACACCAAATGTCCAGACTCCTCCTTAATACCTAACACTGAAGCATTAAGGTTTGAAAATGGCTAAGGTACCAAAAGAAGGGATGCACTTCTCTTAGCCATTCTTCCATTATCTATTTTGTACAACCCCTGCTAATGCATGATTGTTTAAAGCTGGAGTCCAACACAGTCAGGAAGCAGTGGTTCTGGTAATTCTATATTAGAACTTACTAATAAAAATCCCAAGTGTTCCATGTAAATTATTACAATCATCTTCAAAGTTTTAAAATGCTAGTGGCAGTTGCATAAAAGGAAATAACTCCTTAATGTCTTTAAAGTTGACTTTACTAGTCATATAACCCATATTTAATGAGTGATATATTAATAATAATAATAGTAATAATAATATTAAATAATATAACAATAGTATTAAATAATATTAATATGTAAAATATTTAAAAATTCAGGGGACATCTGACTATATGACCATCCATAAAGTAAACTCCCATATTTTAATATCTTAGGTTATGAGAATGGTGTTGCCATATTCCTCACCTACTTATGAGCTCACTCAATACTCACCAGAGTCAAAACATCCAGTTGCTCCACTATATGCTCCAAAGCATTACCCACAGCTGGGGAGATGCCAGTTTGCTTGTCTGTACTACACACAGCTGATTCATTCTCATCCTCCAGCTTCCTTCTTGAGCTAGTTGGAAAGTATGAGGCTGGAGGATACTGGGAATCTTCACTGTTCACATCATCCTTGAACATGGAAATGCTATTTGAAGATCCAGCTGTCCTTGTCTTCATTTAATTGGAATCACAGGGAAAGGAAAGCACAAAGTTCCATTTTTTTATGCTTTAAAAATTGATTTGCACACCCATAATTAAATACAAAAGGTTTCAGCTTTGCTTCATGTACAAGGTTCAATTTTATACCACATCAGATCACTCTCATCAAGAAGAGTTGTGACTGTGACATGAGGATGTTAAAGCTCACAGTATGTGAGAAATCTTCACAGATTACTTCAGTACAAACCACTATACTGCAGGTACATGTGATTAAGGCATTGGATGTTTTGCTACTGGGCACTAAATTAAAGCAAAAGTAAGATCATACTAGAGTAGATATTTTTCTCTAAAAAACAGGCTATAGTTGAGGTGGAAATGAATTCAAGCAAGTCCTATGACCTGTATTATACAAACCAGAGTAGATGATCACAAATGGTTCCTCCTGGCTTTATACTAAACTCTTTCTCTAAGAAATACAGACAGCTATCTCATAGAACAGAAAAAGCTCTAAGCAATTTTAGGTATTTATTCAGCTATACTTTTCTAAGACGCAGATTTTTTCCAAGAGCATGAGAAGGAAAAGGGTGACTAGGTACACACAACCCGAAGTCAACGCAAAGATAAAAGTTATCAAGCAACTCTCATATCTGAGCAGTGTTGAAAGACCACAGTAACAGATGCGGTTCCTTTCATTTTCCTTTACTTCTGTGTTGGCTCACTATATAGTCGCATCCATCAGTTTTACATGTCTCTGTCAAGGTAATATGGGTAACATTCTTTAAAGGTTTCAATAACATCTTTCCACAAAACAGAGCAACCGTATTAGTCACTTTTTAAAATTTAAAGTAGGCCTTGTAGTTTACAAAGCAACAACATAACAGATAGGAAGATATATTTGAACCATTCCACTAAAGGATCTTTAAGTTTGCTGAAACTCTCTTCGAAAAAAAAACTTATTTACAGAAAGAAAGAATTCTGAAATCTTATCCATGGCCTTCAAATATTTATAATTTTAAACTGAATTGATTTTCAAAATTAGAGAACTGTAAAATTCATCCAAATGCATATAAACATTCTTCTCACTCCAAAATAACATTCTAGAAATTAACTTAAAGGATGGGAAATTGGGTTCCAAAACAAAGTTAGGGGGCTGCCTGACTAAAAAGTTAGTGCCTGGCTAACAATTTAGGCAAATAAATCAACCTTAAGAACAGTAAAGCCTAGCTCCCAATGGAATCAATGTGAGTCTTTATTCTTCCATGAGAGCTATGTCATACCAGTACAAAGATATTTAGGTGTTTAAACACAGATTTGAGCAGTCAGATGTGAGGCAACCAAGCCCTAATATTTGCTTCTTGAAAAATAATCTATTTTTAAAAATTACTGACCAATCGTTGGAATAATCCAACAAAGAATTTAGTCAGAATTGAGGCACCTTAAACTAGTCAATTAGGGGGGAAATGACACTTAGCTACCACTTACCACTGGGGTTGCACAAAGACAGTTGATGGAAGACCAAAAAAGGAAGAAAAAAAATGAATCGAGGGGAGTGTGAGAGCATTCTTGAGGCTAGTGCTAGAAGGGAGAAAAAAGTAAAACAATAATGATAGGGGTAAAAGACTTCAAACATGCTGTAGGTCAAGTTTAGTCTGAGCAGATGGGAAAGAGCAGTCCATTGGGAGCCAAAGTAATTGAGAAAAACAGAAAAACAGGAAATTTGCAATGCCCTGTATGCCCTTGGAATGGAACACGAGGGGAGGCAGGGTGTATGTCTGTTATGCGAGTAATGCTAGGAAAAAGTCTCCCAGCATGAATGCTTTAAGTACGTGCATATGGACAGGTATTTAAGAGAAACCAAAGGTCTCCAGCTTCCTGGGTAAATGCTGTAACCACTGCACAGAGTAGGTACCTACAAGCATTCCTTGAATGAACTACGAAATCAGACATCACTCTTCTCTTAAAACGCAAAAGGTGGGAGATAGGGTGATGATGCCATTGATACAGAACAGGCATCACCACCAGCACCTCAATCTAGACCCTTGACTATTAAGGTTAAAACTGGTGCAAATTCCTACAAGTAAATATTTAGAAACATAATAAAGTGTAAAATAGATGCACAGAACAATATTTTCAAAATAATAAAGTTGCTGGCAAGCACTACCAAATAATTCATACCATTTACAGGTATTGGATGTGAAAAATAGACTGTGACTTTAGATTGGAGATCTCAAAAATAAAAGTTAGTTAACAGCTATCTATTCTTCCTTCTCCCTTTTCCTTCATAATCTCTTAACTTCCTCTTGTTCCAGGGCTAACTATAAACACTAGATGGCAGCTATGAATGAAGCAAATTTACCACCATTTGAGGAATGTTACAGGTCTGCAGTCATCTCTGGTCATCTGATAACTGTGAGGCATGCTTCTGTGACATCAAATTCAAAGTACTCCAATTAGTTTTATTTTGGGAAGAAGCTGTTCTTCAGCTTGCAACCATAAAAGAATGAAGTGGCTTGATATTTGTTAAGGGCAGTGTATTTCCCATTTCTTTGTTCCTTGCATCAGTTGCCTCTTTGGGCATGAACCAATTTAAAGCTTTAATACCTCACTGTCATATGGGTCCCCACGTACCTTCATGCATTTTTAGATACATACATGTGACTGCTGCTGCTTGAGAAATGCTATGTTTGCATCTCCTTGCTACATCTCTGAATATTTGGAATACCCTTACTTTAAACCCTGTGAAGGGCCTCAGAGTCACTGATATATTTCTAGCTTTTTATGGTCCTGAGAGGTAGAGTTAATGAAGCATTCCTGTATACATGCTAACCCACAAAATGGAAATGTTCTTCAACACTAAGAACATTGAGCACAGACACACATACGTCAGTAGGAACATATTTCTCATAGAATGAACGCTCCCTCTCTGATCTCACTATACCCATGCTCAAGGGAAATATAACAAATACCTTTCAAAGGTGAACTTGGGAACAAAAATACATAAGCTGCCTGGACACTAAGGAACAACGGCTGAATATGTATGTTGATTATTTGATACACTTCAATCTACCCAATTCCTGAATTTCTTTCTACACACATGTATTAATGACCCCCCACCCTAATTTTGATAGGTCTTAATGTCCCAGTAATAAGCTTCTATACTTCTGTAAACTGTTTGTGTGATACTCCTGAAAATTTCCCTTCCCATGTCAAATTTCACCTCTAACCTATGCTCTGAACATTCAGGGTATGTAGAAACATTCAGGGAGGTTAGGGGGAGTTAGATGGACTTAAAAATGGCCACCCAATGTAAAGTAAGTTGGGATGGGAGGGAATAGCAGGAGGAGGCCTTGGAGGTGTGGGGGGTGGAAATTGGAGGAGCAAGCAGGCTTGGGAGGGGTCAGGGGAGCAGGCAGGGTCTGTAGGGGAATCTGGGGTCTGTAAGGGTTTGGCAGGATCAGGGGGCCTCACAAGCTCCACGGGGCAACTTGAGGGGTGACGGGAGTCTCTCTCCTTCCCCCCGTCCCCCGCCCCCCGGGACTTGAGGCTATTTTTAGGCCCCTGATCTCTCCCAGCACCAGAAGAACCATCCCCTCCACCCCAACTTAGTTTCTTCGCTCCCAGCACTGACAAATGCTGGTAAAACTGGCAGAGAGTGGTTTGTGGGATGCAGGCGGGGGGGTTGAAGGGCTTGGGAAGGGGCATTGGCTGACCTTTGGAGGAGGGCTGTCCATCTGGGGGTGGGGGGAGGGGCCATGGGCTAAAAACGGGCCGGTGCTACGGAGAAGGTAGGAAAAATACAGCCCCTGGGCTGGGGCTAGCAACTGGGCTTTCCCAGACCTGGGGCTGTGCTGCAAGCTGTACAGAAGTTCAGGACAGTTAGATCAGTCTAAAAATGCCCAACCTGATCTACGTTAGACTACTGTGAAGGCTTAAATTGGAACATAGATCCCTAGTTAGGTTAATCTAAGCATAAGGGCCGCACCTGGGCAAACTAAGTTAGATCAGGTGGCCATTTTTAATATGATCTAACCTCTCTAAACATCTGTATGCATCCTCACTGTGCTTGCTTCCCTCTTCAGACCTGATTAAGAATGTCTTGCATTTGAAAGCTTGTCTAACTTTATTCTAGCCATGCAGTCCCATAAGAGATAGCAGCCCTAAAAAATCCTTGCCTTCAAACCTAATTAAGAGGGAGAACATTAAAGTTCATGATTTTAATGCCAAATGAACTGCTTTTGTACAACCAAAACAAATTATTTTCTATTACCAATAGTTTGTAAAATGAGAAAGGGATTCTTATATTTAACACATGCAGGAAATCCTAGGAGAATATTTTTTCGGTAATATTTTTAGATGCAATTTAATTTTCTTGCTGTTTGGGCCGTTCAGTTTGTTAGGTGATAAAAACAAAAGACTGGTTAATGTGGTTAAAACATATAAGGACTGTTGCTTTTTCTTAATCCTTACTACTTTGTAAAATTAACCTTTTTGTGAAAAATTGTCAAATAATTTGTATAGTAAAATGATTTAACATTAACAGTGTTAATCTTCAGAAAACAGATAACCAATACTTAAATATATACATGGCATATTTGGGGAGGTGGGACAAAAATATTTTTTGCATTATTATATATTTAAAATTTAAGTTTAAGCCTATCCTTAGCCCACAAATCAAGATTAATGCTTCATAGTTACTATTAAGTGTACAACGCGCATATTTAACTGTGTGCAAATTGAATGTAAATCAGAACATTTCAATCTAAACTTTCACTGATTCTTCATTGATGTTTGTAGGAGCTGGGGTGATTTTTTAGCCATTATAGTACAAAAAATGTGAGAGGCAAGGATTTGTGTGGGAGATATCTTTTATTGGACCAACTGTATAATTGGGTGGGATACAGACAAGCTTTCAGGTATGAAGACATGTCCTTCAGTCTGTTAAAAATTAGAGCCAACACCAATTGAAAACACCAATGAAAAAAGCAGTCACCCTGAGGAAAAAAAACAAATTA